GTGTGGTTAGGTTCTCAGTGCTTACCTCCTTGAAAATGAGGGCCTTCACCCTAGAACAACTGTTGCTTGGCCTTCTTTGCTGTGGAAATTTAGCCAGTGGGCGCTGAGGAGAGAGCATTTCATATTCTTCATCCTGACAGCAAGGATGTAAGGATGTACTTTCTTGCACTGATTACTGCGCACATCTCTGAAATCACTTCTCCTGTATGAGGTGAAGTAACAAGGATAGAAACTAAAACATTTTACATTTGCTCTAGAAAATGTACAACAGACAAGCTTAAAAAAAGCAACCCACAATAGAACTTTGTGTGAACTTGAGCTGACTAAAAGTACAATGACTTCCAAAACACAAGGTCACTGTAGCTAAACTAGTAAAATTAAACGTTTGTTTTCAAATGCATCTTTTAAGGTTGGTCTTTATTGCCATCATAAACTCACTTACCTGTTTAATGCCACTCTAGGAAAGGTTGAGTTGGACAGAAGGTGAGCATTAACTTCAACAATGCAATTGTAGAAAGGACGTCTCTCTGTTTTTAAGATAAGCAGAAAGCATGAAACCCTCAAATTGGTATGTGAGCAATGCAACATCAACCTACGCAACAGCCATTGCAACTAGCTAGAAATAGAGCATGAAAACCCAAGTTCTAGATACGATGAAAATGCGGTAGCAGACTATTTCATTCTTACAGTGGGTTGGTGATATGATATGGCATGCTATCCTACGGTAGAAAAAGTTGACGAAATTGTCTAGGTCCGTGTTTGGTTTTGGCCTTGTCTACCCAAGCCTGTTGCAATGGATAAACATAACGAGTTCATTTCTGTACTCCTGTGTCAATGAAGAGTTTGTGTTTAATGGGACTAGCTGACATTCTAGTAAATATAGTAATTTTCTTTGGAACAGGACTAACTGCACTGCACAAAGAGTTTTTGTTTAAGACTTGTGAACACACGTATGAGTATTTGGCTCCTGGAAGCCTTTCAAGTCACATCCTGCATGTCTCAGCTGCTTACACGGACCAGCCTGCCTTAGTACATGGGCGTACCCTGCTAATCCACAGTTACTTATATCACATGCCACCTCTTTTTAAAAAAATGGTAGGAAGGCCAGGTAATGGGGCCAGATACCTACGAGAGCAGCCAAATTTCTTTCCCTTCAGATCTGGGGCTTTTGGATCTCAGACTGTCCTTTCGGATAGCTGCTGGTTCAGTTCTGCTTGGAAAAGAGTTGCCAAGATATAGACATCTGCAAAACATCATTTTTTTTAGAGGAAAAACAAAGAAAAGAAGACAATCCCAGAGTTAGTCCCGCTACTGAGATACGGTAAAAATGCAGCAAAAATGCCTGAGGACAAAAGAGCTGGACAGAGCCTCTCCTAGGGTTTCTTGGAAAGAACTTGTTCACATGTTTACAAGAGGACACCAGAGAACTTGAAAGCCCTACATTACTTGATAATGAAACAGCTTTTCCAGCCTCCTGTTACTTTGTAGGGTAGTTCATGATAATGTGCAGGGTGTCACAGCAGAGAAGGCAAGGCAAAGTTAACATCCTCTTTGGACATAAACATTGCAAGGCCAAAAGCATCTCTCTCCCTTTGACTGTACATGTTAGTGCAGTCACTCCAAAGTTGGGAAGAACCAACAAACCTACAAATAAATAATCCTAAAGAGCATCTATGTGAACCACTGCTCACTCCCAACAATGACAGATAGGTGAGGAATGTTTTTTTAGTGTATTTTCAAAGATGTAAGATGGAATGTGTGTTCTTGGAAAGAGAGCCAGCATACGGATAGCAGATCTAAACAGACGTGGAGTGGCTGCAGAGGTCGAACACTCCACACCAACCTTCCAGCTATCGAGGACACGCCATTTGGTGTCCAAATGCCCTGCTACCAATCCTTTCCCCAAGACTGGTGCCCACTCTTAGATGATGGAAGAAGAGAGCGCTTCAAAGTACATCAGCCTGAGGCTTTGGGGAGTATTTCCTATTTATATACGGGGAATGACAATGATTCCTTGCTAACTTTTGTGGGGGATTGTTGCTGTTTTCATGTTTTTTCCCACGGGACAAATGTTCAGTGCTCATGACCCTTTTCCAAATTATCAGGCTAACAATTTAAAATTCTGTAATGGCTCTGAAAATGGATTAAATCAATTCTAGATGAATTACAATGGAATAAAAATGGGGATATGCATTTGTGTTTTATACTAATTGGCATTCAGCCCAGGCTGCTTTGCATCATTTCAGGCTTGACTTTGCGTTACATCCGAGCCCTTCACGGTACCGAGGCCATGCTGACCGGATGCCTCTTCCCCCTGTAATTGTGGGCTGGCTGATAGGGTCACCCAATTCGCAGTTAACACAGCTTTCTCCCCGTCGCAGCCTGTTGCTGCAGTGTCACAGCGGCCGGAGAGTCAGGCAGAGGTCTCTGGCTGGCTCGCAAGCTGGCTGAGAAGCAGAGAGAGTTCAGCCATTCAACTCCAGCTAATCGCATACCAAGGCAGAAGAGCACATATGGCGGAACGGGACCCTGGAGAGGTCACAGCTCAGTGTCGCAAGAAAGAAAAAAGCTCCAGCAGATAGGTAAAGCCAAGGAGAGAAACAGGAACAGTGGCACCTCTTCAAACTACCTGCCCTACGGCAAGATTGTATCTGCTATCAGGTTTTAAACAAAATGAAAAACTTTCCCACACTACACAAAAAACGTAGAACCTACTGCCCCAGGATGTGTGGGAGTCAAAGGGTTTGAGAAAAGGGACTAGGCAGCTTCATGAAGTACTTGTAAAAGCTGAAGCCATTTGTCTGAGTGCTCAGGAAGTTTTCAGCCTGCTGCTTAGCAGGAGCTGGGGGGTTTGCGAGGAGCAGGCCCCCTCCACCAGCCTCCACCAGCCAGGCTCCCACACCGGACTGGGCTGGCGCATCTGACTTCGCACAGGAGTGCATATGGAGAGAGTTACAGCTGTCTGCAGACAAGACAGGGTCTTGAGTGCCACCAATGAAGGGTGCCACTGACTGAAACCCTATTATCTCAGCTCTGTATCAGCAGGAATCAGAGTTATTCTGCTAAAGGTAACAGCTGTCCTGTGCTTTTCATGAGAGCAGAAAGCTCCTACTGGCATCATCCATAACTGAACTCCTGTCACTCTGTTGGCACCAACACAGGAATTACAGAGTGTGCCATTTATGTACTCTAAAGGTAAAAGGCATCTTCAGTTAAAAGCTGAGTCATGCTGGATCAAGAAAATCTTTTGTGTAACCCAAGCGCATGTAACCACAGATAATGCTTACAGTAAGTGCCCAGAATTGCACCCAATATTTTTTGCTCTGATTCTTGCCAGTGAAGACCTGACCAAGTCACTTAACCTGTTATCTCTCAGTGTCCACATCTGCAAAATGGGAATAACACTGAAATACGTTGCAGCAATTCTGTAAGGCTGAATACGTAATACTATGTACTACCTTAGGAAACTAGAGTGCAGGTGTCCAAAAAAAACCCATAAACAAACAAATAGGGCCTAGGGATTTACTGTTCAAATATGAGAGTTGCTTGGGGTTTTTTTTTTTTTTTTGAACTTACACACCTGCAGTATCTTCTAAGGTCTCAAGCTTATGTTCAAAAACAGAAAAATACCGCAAATATCATCCTTTAATGGTGGCAAAAGAAATCACAAAGATTTTACCATATTTGATAGAAAATTCTTGTGCTAACAAATCTTCTACAATGACAATAAGGCACATTAGCATTTAAAAACAACAATTGGTAGAGATTTAACACATGGAGATGCTGTGAAGGCAAGCCGACAATATACAGAGAATATACTCCATAATTACGTTTTGATGGTAGGATATAACAAAAAGACTGACAAAATACAGCTCTCACATCAGAAACTTTTGCTCAGTCCACGCAGCGCTCGGTGAAGAGCTCATGGTTGAGCAAGGCAGCTTTTCTCATTCGCTGCACAAGGCAAAGTCTATGTTAACAAATACACACGCGGCACGGACAGAAACCACAGAGTGAAATGACTTCCCCAACACTCTGAATTCCTCCACTGAATTGTGGGAAATAGTATACCTCACTGGATCCGTTACAATATTTGTACTTTACAGATAACCATGCTAAGAAAACAAGGTGATCTTTTGCATACGCTATACAAGGGTTCCAAACTTCATTCAAATAAACTGCTTTGCAAATGTCAGCCTACTAAGGTGATCTATTCCACTTCCGGGGTTCTGTTTGCTTAGACTGATTTTCCAAACACGAGAAGCCTACTCTAGGCAAAATCTGCCTTTTTATTTTATTTATTCTGCAAAGTAGTATGTCACAAATAGTATCCTCTAATTATTCTGAATTTAAAATAATTCAAAAACCGTACCCCAGAACATACCAAGATACCAGAGAAGACGGTGAGTGACTCAAGAGCCTGATGAACTCAAATCATCATGTGCTTCCCATGTGAAGTTTTAAGTGAAAGTGAAGCTTTCCCAAAGTGAAGTTTTACCTCTCTTTAACCACATTTCAGCTGCATTTCAGATACACATTAAAATTTTCTTCCTGAAGTCAAAGATTAAATATTAAGAACTTGGACCCAAGTCCAGTGAAATGTTTATTCTCCTATCTTCCTGTGGACTCGTGAGATGATTTCAGAAACCAGCTAAGAATTAAGTGCTTGCAGAGCTGGATAGATCTGGAGTTAAAATACTCCTGGCAGTAAATTTACTGAATAGAGATTTGGCTCACCATCCAACACTGTAGTAGTTTGCATACTTGTGCATTAGAGAAAAAGCAACACACCTTAGTTTATATCATCTGTAGGAAATAAAATAGAAAGGTAAAACTCATACCA